ACTGTAACCGTAGCGCTTAAACCGTGGAAACTTAATTGATGGTTTCAGTGAGAAACGGTCTTCAATATTTTTTCCAACCATGGTGAGAAAACCCCATTCTTTCCGTACCTTTTTAATTCAGCTCTCTCCATTCGGGTAATTTTTTATATTTTATATTTCAAACCTGTTTTCACACTTACTCTTGACCCGGATATCTAAGTCATCCTCAACTTTCCATTACCTTAATAATTTCAAATCATCTGAACCTGGAAATGTTGAGTAGCGTGTGCATTTATTTTGTCATGACTTTGTATATTTATCTGATGTCTGGCTTCCTGTTTGTAGTATTTATTCATGTAAATTCTTCGCATATTCCAGCAGGCTAACTGTTATCTTTTCTTTCATTTGCATAATGTTGTTGGCTGCCACGCATCGGCTGCGTTTGCTTCATACTTAAGGTCAGACAGCCAGAGATTATGAGTATTAATGAATTCTCACAACTGACTAACCAACCAAGAACCAATCGCCCAGAAAATAGATTGGACACATCCTGAGGTGATCGTCGTGTGACATCACACGCCAGACTCTAATGTGGATCATGGATAGTTAACGGCGAGATGGGTATCTGTAGGTGACTTTAGAGAAGAGGAATAAATGCGGGGTGCTTTTCGAGAACCATATTTCAGTTGAAACCGAAGCGAAAAGTAACTAGTTGCCATTTTCTAACCGTTCAGTTCAATTATGTTAAAAAATATCATATATTGTTGTCATAAGTAGTTTAAGCTGTATGTAGTTGATAAGAATCGAGGGAATAATATGACGCAGTGTAACCATATTCAAGTGTTGGTATGCAGATATTTGCTGAGTAACAGGTTTTATCATGAGCAGACTTCGGTTAGAGGACCACTGAAGACAACCAGGGAGTACTGGACGGCTGTTCCTTAGCACTATATACTCGTTGGAGTTGGAACTCGTGACCTTCCGGTCACATAGTGACTTGGAAGACCATTCAGCCAATATGACCTGATCCACTGATTTAGGAATTCTGACTTCTTTTAGTTGGCGGTATATATAGCTCAACAGCCAGTCGTATTTCATAGGCAAGTAACTGCTCTCTTACCTAACTTTGTAGACCCCTCTGGTTACAACTTCATACTAGATCTCTAGGTAACGGTTAGTAGTGAACGTCTAATCAATCATCAATCGACCATTTGAAGGGACTGATTAGTTACAGGTTTGACTATGAGTTCATATCAGTTACAACCACTGGATTCATACTGTTCTGCAGCAAAGCTTGTTCTATCCCTAGTAAATTTATAAAGCTGATTTCATGGATAAATCACCCTAACTGAACTGAACAAAGTCTTGGAAAAAGACTACATCAGTTTGGAGGTATTCACAGAAATTCAAAATATGCGATATGCAGTATATTATTATCATTATTGTTAGGGAAATTTGTGTGACCGAATCGTACTGAAAACTCGAATGTTCTGTTTCACTGCATCAGTGAGAAATCTAAGAGAAAACTGGGTAAAATCATTTTATGATTATCATTGTTGTTAGTATTAACATTATTAAGCCAAATTAAGATGCCACGTGTTAGACTTCGTACAAAACAAAATTATACACACCAGAGAGAAATTCCTTACCACAAAGTCCCTAATTCCTGTTCAGCTCATTAAACGTAGTAGGAATTTCAAACTTCAAAGAAAACAAATAAATGACAGGATGTCAATTAGATGTTAGCCCACTACAGTAGACAATAATAAGTAGACGCCGAACATCTTGAAAAATCCCTAACAATATATGAAAATAAATTTTCAAGTAGTGATTTACAGGGATTTGACTGAATTCAAGATTAATTATTATATATTATTATATCCCTTAATTCCTAGAGGAACATAGGGCTTCAGCTGAGCGTCTCCATTGCCTTTGGTTTTCTGCCAACTTTTTCACCCCGCTCCAAGTCTGTCCACATGCTGTCATCTCCTCTTCACATGACCTCCTCCAAGTCACCCTAACACTGATGACCAACTCGCCGCTTCCCATTTCGGGTTCTACTCGAGCAATGGCTCATCTAGTGATGTCACTTGATGGTTTCCTCAGAGTATGACCAGCCAATCCATCTCCATTTCTTCCTACCTATTTGTTTCGCAATCGGTTCCTGGTTGGTTCGCTCCCAGAGATCTTTGTTGCTGATCTTTTCTGGCCATCTGATCTTGAGTACTGAGCGAAGACAACTGTTGATGAAGGTCTGAGGTCTGTTTCAGATGCTCTTTATGATGCGCTGGCCAAGTCTCTGATCTGTATAGTAGCACTGACTTCACATTGGAGTTGAAAATCTGGATCTTATTTTTGATTCTGAGTGCTGTTGATCTCCACACAGACTTAAGAGTAATGAAAGCTTGTCTCGCTTTTCCGATTCTGGCTTTGATATCCTCGTCAGTTCTGTCCGCCTATAGTTGAAACAATGCTTCCCAGGTAGGTGGGTAAAGGAGGTTGTTTCTTTCAGGTTCCTCCAATTTATGCTGACTGTCGTCTGTTGTTGTTGTTGCTGTTGCTTTTGGCCAAGAATCTTCATCACCTCTGTTTCATCTATGTTCGCTTGAAGTCCCTCCTATCTCTGATGCTTCTTCTGCCAGCTTGTTGCTTTTCACTTGCATATCTTCCAGTTTATGGGAAATCAGACATATATCATCGGCGAAATCCAGATCCTCCAAGTCTTTTGTGTCAGTCCATTTTATGCCTGTTCCCTCGTTGGTTGCCGTTGTCTGTCGCATTATCCAGTCTACTGCAATCAGGAAGATCATTCGTGATAGTAGGCAGCTTTGTCTCACTCCCGTCCTCACTTCGAAGGATTCCGTAAGTTTCCCGTTGTGGATTACTTGACATGCAGGATTGTCGTATAACTGTTGGACGAGATGTATAATTGTCGATGGGACCCCTTGGTAGTAGCGAAGTAGTTGCCAAATCACCTCTCGATCGACGCTGCACTATCGAAGGCCTTTCCAAAGTCGATGATGTTGAGATAGAGAGGTGACTTCCATTCTAAGCTTTGTTCAATGATGATCCGTAGAGTGGCGATTTGATCAATACATGACTTGTTTCTCCTGAATCCAGCCTGTTCCGGTCGGAGTTTTTCATCTAGGTTGGCTTGTTTGATTCTCTCCCGGATGATACGGCTTAGTATTTTGCTTGGGATGGATAGGAGCATAATTCCACGCCAGTTTTTGAATTAACTCAAGTCTCCTTTCTTTGGTAGTTTGAAAAAGTATCCTTTCTTCCAATTCTCAGGGTCATGGATTTGTAGTGCCAGAGACCGGCGAAATATTAAAAACCAATTTTTTATCTCAGGTAAATTGATATTTAAAATATGTGTCATGCCGACCTCGACCAGACAAATTTCATAGTGACGAAACAGATCTAATATACTTTAGACATTTCCCACCACTTTAATCTCTTTGATTTTCAGGTGTTTGTCCACAAGGATTTCATTGGATCCACGTTAGACCATAATTTGCTGTCTTTCAGAGAACCATTTGAATCCAGGGAATACTGGCCAGTTGTATTTCACCCAAAGCATCTCTAGCCATGATGAGTTCTCTTCCAGTACTGTCTTCTCCCAGTTTGGCGTTCATATAACGCATAAGGATCTTCATGTCTTCATTCAGGGTGTTGTCCGTTACTGTTTGTGGTCGCCCATACACATCTTCCTCCTACTCTTGTTCCGCGTTGTTTGTAGCACTGTGTCTAGCACTAGATGGTTGTAACGCACCTGACGAACCTCGTCCGCCATTTAACATTCCTCATGCGTCCTGATAACAAGCATATCCTCAGAATTCTTTATTCAAGCAAAACTAGCCAGACACATACTGAAATCGTCTCTACAAATAATCCAAATATTTTATTCCATTTCAATATGTGACTCACTACAACACATGCTTAAACAACCGACACTTTCTTATTTGGTTAATGTTATCAGTAGTTGTGATTTAGGCGGTGTACCATATTAGTGTGTAATTAGATATACTACACTAAATAAGGCTCGTTTAGTGAGGCATATCAACTTCAAAACCATAATATGACAGCTATCGTTCTCATACTTCAGGATGTCAATCTCCGACTACCTTGATAACTGAACTTGGATTTCAGTTACTCTGATTCCATAATCAATCACACTGAATATTTCGCATCACATTACTCGTTTCTGTAGACCATAATTCATCAGGTATCCAGCTCTCTATGCTATCTGATTCTAAACAGTGAGAATAACAAGAAGCATTCTACAAAATCGGGTTACAATGCGAGATAATCATGTCTCACTTTCCAGCTCATATATCACCCATTCACTAATTGGATACCTTGAAAACCTGATGCGTGATTCGTAATAATCAATGAAGCTTTCACTGTGGAAATACTGATTTCAGTTGAACGTCCGAGAAGACAAATCAGCCGATGTTGTATTTTAGTTAAAATAATTTAATTTCTATGTATTTTAGAATGGTGAGTTTTCTAGACAGGATGACCTTAATAATGTTTGTAGAAATAATGTAGAAAATCAATGCGAGATTATCTGATATTCCGTTCTATTGTTAACATTATATGTTATAAAGGTGTATGAGAATGAAATAACTCCTTTCATTTGTCAGTTACACTGAATGAAGCACAGCATGAGTTTTAATTATTTAATGAAGGCATCATGCTGACCAGTGCACCATTACGTATTTTATTTTGTAATTAGAAAAATATTTGTAATCTTTTGTTAATGTAACTATGCGTGGGTCAGTGCTTATCAGTGACCTCGGTGATAAAATTTAATACTCAAAGGGGTATCAGTCCGTAAGATACTGATAACCGAAATTTGATAAAAAGTAGGCGGCACTATGAAAATCAACTCATAACATCATAAATTTATTCTGTCTTTATTAATCTACCAATGGCATATGAATACAGCGTAGCTTTCCTCATTGTAGTTTCAATATAAATACAACCGTTTATGAAGAGATACAGAATAACCATGGCGTCAGCATCCACATCTATTTGCCTACTTATAACCGCTTTCTTTCTGTGCTCGTGTGAATCAGCAAGTAAGTCATTTCTCCATCAATTATCTGTCTAGACCATTATATATAATGATGAAATGCAACTAGATACCTACCTGTTTTTGTCAAACCTTCGATTTATTACCATTATCTTCATTGTTATAATTGACTGAATCATATGAAGGTAGAATTAGTAATGATCGAGGCAATTTTACAGTCGATCAAGCGCAACTGTGCACATCTTAGATGCATTCATCAGAGTATTTACTATGTACGCTTCTTCTTCATCTTCTTCTAAATTGCATATTTACGTGTCCACAGAGATGGAACCTTAGGGCTTTTATGTATTTGTCAATCTCATAATGGCGGAAATCATAGTGTATCCACTTCGATTGAATTTACTTTATTCTTAACTTGAAGATGTCAAACTCCAGAGAAATGAAACAACTGAGATGGAAGAAATGCTCAATGATGCTGGTGAGACTTACGACACTTTTTTCTTATCAAAACTTCTACCTGTAATTTGAATATTTGTTTGTTTGTCAGTTTTGCACCAATTTTTTTACACTGCACTCCATAGATTGAGCGCATAAAAGACAATACATTCTATTGAGTTCAATTTGACATAAGCATGTAGCGAAACCCCGAGAGGAGTAGTTCAACACAGTAAGATGGCTGAAAACTTTCTGTATGTTAAGGAGTGTTAGAACTACTGAGGGCGATGGAGATGGATCGAAGGTACTGTGTGAAGTGTCTGTTGAGTGTTATCACACACGAAACAGTCACTCGAGTGGGAAACAATAGTACACTTCATGAATATCAATCTGTGGGTTACCGAAGAATTAAATTTGATACAGTATTGGTAGTGCCATTGAAAACACCCGATAACATCATATATTAATGCTATATTTCTTAATCTACAAATGACGCCTAAGCATAGCTTTTCTCTTGTTAATTTTAATATAAATACAACGGCTTCTGAAGAGATGCAGAATGACCATGGCATTAGTATCCACACCTATTAACCTCATTATAATTGTTTTCTTTCTGTGCACATGTGAAACATCAGGTAAGTCATCTGTCTTTCCATTTTATGATTCAAGCGATATTTATGTATGCGAAATGCAATTGGATCCTCGCCTTCATCAAACTTTTCACTTATCACCATTATCTTCAATCTGAGAATCGACTTAATCATATGAAGGCTGAATCGGTACTGGTTCCCGATAATCGCGTTGTATCTCCACCACACAGGGAAATAGAAGATCTTGGTTATTTTTCATATTAGTTCATTGCGTCGGGATTGGAAGATAAGGCTTCACCGGAACACTTCCGTAAGAGCCGATCCTTTGGAATCTGTCTTAACTTACCTGGTGGCAACTCACAGGATCTCGCCTCCATCTTCACACAATGTCGTCCACGTCAACCTTGAAATGTGGACTATTTGATAAAATGAAATAAGCACGAAGGATGATTTGAGGTATCACATAGGCATATGATGAAGTTTGCATACAGATACTGGTACTGAGACAAGCTGGACTTTTCAAATGAAGTTTATTTAGAGTTGTTATGCTTTATGTTGATTGAATCAATTTTACAATCCATGAAAAGGAATATGTACCACACCTTAGATCGATACATCCTCTTCTTCCAAATTACATATTCACGTCTCACAGAGATGAAAAGTTAGGCCATCTATGTATTTATCAATATCACAACGACGAAAATAAGAGTGTGTCCAATTCGATTAAATTCACTATTTTGTTTTTACTTCAAGAATACGAAATGTTCGGGGATGTAAGAATTGCTGTGGAAAGAATAATCAAGAGTTATGACGGTGAGTATCACTACACTTAATACCAACGCTTCTATCTGTAATTTGAATATTTGTTTGTTTGTTTCTCTGTTTCTCAACATCATTTTCAAACTGTGCTCCATAGATTGAATGCGTAAAAGATAGTACATTCTATAGAGTCCACTTTGACATAAGCATATACTGAAACCCTGAGAGGAGTAGTTCAACAGAGTAAGATCACTGAAGACTTTCTGCGTGTTAAGGATTCTAAGAACTACTGAAGAAAATACAGATGGATGGAGCATACTCTGCAAAGAACATTAAATGATAGCACCCAACGTGCAGACCAACGAGTGGAATTCGAATTAGATACGAGGGGTTCGTAAATTATTTAAGGAGGGCATCAGAGCATACAATGGATCATGTAGGCAATTAGAGAGGACTTCAGATAACTCGATAAAATGGATATTTGATGTTGAAGCCATGTGTTTTACTCAGAACCCAAAGCGATACTATAAATTCTACACTGTGGAATAAAATTTTTGAGGTGGAAAAATTAGTCAATGATTATGAAGGCAAGCCTCCTCACATTTCACATCAACCCCACTATGTGTAATTTGAATATTTGTTTGTTTGTTTCTCGGTTTGTCAGCAAAAATCTTAAACTGTACTTCTTAGATTGAAGATCATATGACATAAGCATGTACTGTAACTTTGTGAGAAGTAGTTCAAACAGTAAGATTACTGAAGACTTTCTGCATCCTAGGGATTTCGATAACGACTAAGGGGAATGGCGATGGATCGAATGTAGTGTGAGAAGACGATTGAGTGTTACCATGGATCATGCAGATTATCGAGTGCAACTTGACTGGTAAGGAGGGGATCAAAAGGCATTGAAGATCATGCAGGCTCTTCAAGAGGACTTTAGAGAACATGATGAAATGGAGATCTCTTGGTGAAGTCATGTGTATCACTAGGAACTCAAAGGGATACTGTTTACTATTTACTGAGTGATTGTTAAGAGATACGGTTTGAAATTAAATCTTCATTCAAATTACCAGTTAGTATTATTAGCATGGTGCTGAGAGCAAATATGTGACTGCTGTTCATAAGGCTACCGGGGTTCAACATCTTCCTTTTTCCTATCCTGAATTCATGAATTCCATTGACCACTACCTTCTTGTTTGACAGAAAAACACAATTATCGTTGTAATGCATTATAGACATTTAGATAATCATTACTTACGCTCAACCCAAGAAAGACTTTGGCCAGTATTGACATCTCTAATAAGTAAACAATGGACAAAGTAAATCCCTAAAGTATACACTGAGTTACGACATGAAATTGTTTAGTCTATTGGGAATTTCATTATTTTCAATTTCATTTCCCACTTTAAATCGTTTTATAGATGCAATTCGTGAAAATCGAAATGCAACTAATCAGTATGAATCAGAAACAAAGGCACAAGGTGAAATGAATACGTCTTAATTAACCTCTTCCAATAAAAATGTATTCTCTTTCAAATTTTAAATGCTTGATTGACTGACAAAATGAAAAACAAGCTGTCAAAAGTGTTAGCAATCCAAGGCCGTATTCTAAGAAACGTTCACCTGTCTTCTAGTGAATCCCCCACTGAAACCCTTTGTCGCTTGAGATGATGAATGTAGGCTTTGACCGTCAATAAGAACACAATCACTCACCGGAAATGTGAGTATATCCTAATGACTAGTCATAAATAGAACGAAACTCACATTAAAGATTCCACTGGCAGTCAGTATCAACCGAATCTACATTAAAATAGCAACCAGTTTGTTGATGAATTTCCAAAGCCACTGAAATTTACCTCTCTTGATGTACTCCTTCCAGTATACTACCTTTGGGACACTTGTATGCATGTACTCAACTAGTTTCTTCAGTGAATATTTCGTCGAAGTGTCGTTTCATGGTTTATTCGATGAAGATGAATGTCGCATGGAATGGGTATATGAAGCTGTTTAGTTCACTTTTTGAATATCGTTCTGGCTATTCATACATATAACTAATTTTCACCTGCTGTACTCTTCTTCAGTAAGAGTAGTAAGAAAGTTATTAAAGACCAAGAGACGTTTCAGGAAATGTAAGTCAATTGAAATACCCTATAATCTAATCATTTCTTCAGTTATGAAATGCCAGGAAAGTTACACCGCTGACCACAGCCTACTAGATGCTTACAATTGTACGTGAAATTTGAATAAATGTTTATTTACTGATATCAAAAATAATTCATCAGAATATGTCATAAAGTGAATGAATCCTTGCATAAACTATTCCCAGCCATTGTTGTTGCTTTGACTTGCTCACGAAGATGACGAATCTAGATGAAATTTTATATAGGTTCTGTCAGTGATCACACATTTGCACTATGAGTCAGAACCAGTAGTCAATAGCGAATCTAAGCCAGTGCAGAGAGTCGCTGTTCATTCTCAGATGAGTTCCGTAATAAAGGTACGCATATGGTGATCAGTGGATTCCTTTAAGGGTTGATTGTTTGTTTCTTCAACCGCCTATTCCGAGATTATCATGTTAGTTGCTTTTGTCTCTATTCATTCATTTTGTTCACGCTTTTTATTATCCCAGTCAAGTTATCGTATCTATTCTGAATTCCTTGCATATACAATCCAACAGATTTATTCGAAGAAATGAAAAGACTGAAATATCAATACAGTATGATTCCTTTTACACGTATTAATTATCTCAATATTTCAGAGAATATTTTGACTTCAGTTGAAAGCGGCAAAAATCACACTCCCTTTCAAGTGCATACACATGGGGTTGTCGTTAAGCTAATGGATTCCAGAGATTCCTTTCCCTTATTGATTTGAAAATAGTTCACCTTAGTCGGACATAAGTCAGTCACTGGCGTCATGCATCTGGTTGGTCGTCTGGTGCAGACTGAATTTTATCAGTTGAGTTTGCAATGTGATCACTATGCTAAGGGAGTCGGCACCATGGTGCACCGTGAATTGTAGTTTTTAGGTAGTTGGAGGTTTCATGCTTATTGACACTCGTCGTTACTACCTTGTGTGAAATACAGTCATGTAGGAGTGGTATCATGAGCCCTAATAGCTCACTGATGACGTCTCCAACTGCATAACTGAATGACCCTGTTTCCGAGCTCAGAGTGGATAGAAGTTCCTCCAAGATTCTACATACACCATACTGGCTTGTGAGTGTCGACAAGTGCGAAATTTGGATGAGAGATTTCTCTCTGGTCGCCTACAATTTTGTAATATCACGTCGCTTTGCTGCCTTGAATTCATATGAACTAAGAAATTAATTGTGAATGGGAGAAAAAGTCTTTCAGTATTTCCTTATGATGTATAATTAAGTTCAATTACTACCAAGAATGAGAGAAATTTCAGGTGATTTCAGTGTACCACCACGTCAAAATCTCTCAGTGAGTATCAGAGAAACCAATTATAGACCTGGTATAAGACATGTATTTTTTACTGAATAGTAGAATTGTTTTGAGAAGTGTACATCCCCTCATTTTTATATTTTTTTCAGTAAGCTTTGCAGTGAATACTGACAATCAAATATATGAAGCTGAGCACCTCATTCATAAGTATACAAGTAATTATAAAACTTCCCTATGGGAAAATCTACTTTTTCTATCTGTCTGCATGCCTTCTACACAACACTTGCTACTTGATATTGTTGCTATCGTTAATACCGGTTGTTTAGAAAATTTATACGTTTGATCACGAGTTGTGAGTCGGTGGCACAGTGGTCAGGACTCCCGCTGACCATGCACATGGTCCAGGGTTCGATCCCCTGGTCAGTCTGTAAAATTCGGGCTACCTATATAACATGCTGAAAGTTCCATACTTATGCCAAAATGCACAATGTGCAATCAAGCTGTAATCAAAAATGAAAAAATAAAAATGAAGATCACGAGTTGATGTCATTTAGAGAACTATTTTAAAATCCAGTATCATCGAAACATAAACTGTTGGTCTCCTCAGCAGTAAACACCCATTGGGGTTTGAGGCCAGAACCTTCTAGCTGCAACATGAGCTCTTAGACCATTCTACGTCTGAAAATAGGTCTAGGGGTCAAATTCTGACAATTCACGATATACAGCGCAATTGCTAGCTGCTGTCATAGGTGTGTAACTGATCTCTTGTGTTTCTATTACATCTACGCATTCATTTTATGCTAACATCAGTCCGTGATACCCTTGACATCTCTATGACAATTAACCACCTTCATCTAACTCTTAGTTCGTCATGACCTAATTAGCTGAACAGCTGAAAATACTGTCAATATTCGAGTGCCTCTTTGGTTCTAACTTCAATATTCAATCAGTGCATTCAATAAACACTCCTTCATTCAACCACATCAACGTGATAAGTTTTGTAAACAGTTAAATATTCTTATTCAGAAGATAATGAGATTTTAATAAATACTGTTTTTGTCATTTCTCTGCATCTTGGTGACTACAAATTGTAGAAAAAGTGAAAGGTTAGTTCAAGTTGCAAAATAATAACAAAATTTATGGACATTAATGTAGATTTATTTATATATTTCCGTCACTATCCATATACATATTGGCATTTTTTTTATTTCTCATGTACAATGAATAGAAACGAGATACGGTCCAAGAAACAAAGGTTGCAATGCCTTTCTAACTCCAACTGAAATTCAAGGTATCTAAATGTCATTCACTGTCATGCATATATTAGTGTGAAGATATTATTCATATGCATATTACTCACATAGTTTCATTGATTAGCCTGATTCGTGAAAACAGACTTACTTTAATCATGATTCAATATTTCCTTATAGATGAAAGTAAGTTACTGTTTGCATAGTTCATAAGTACTGAATATGCTGCCTAGAATGATATCTAGAAGTCTTCATTTCCAATGTTCATATCAGAGATGACCTCAACTACAACAGAAAAAAATAAGTCAGTACTTATCACAGGAATCTCTGGATTTCTTTCAAATTTATAAAAGAAAATAGTTCAGTTGTGAAGATCTCTTTCTTGGTTCCTGTATGATGCTGACAACCAGAAATTTATTCCTTCTCACAGGCCGATAAATAAAAACAATTATACTCTATACAAATGTCATAAGTCTTGGTCTTTAAGGATTTGATTGATTGGTTACAGGATTTCATCATGAGCTAACGAATGTCTCTAACCAATGTCAGTTGATGATGAAATCCTGTAACCAATGTCATAAGGCATTTCATATATGATATATGTATGTATACACTGCCATAGAAAACAATAACAAAAGACACAAATACATCATAACGATGTCTCTAGTATTCGCCTACAGACGATTTAGCACATTGACACTGACGATCAATCTCGACTAAGCTCGTACAATCTGCTTTACATTGTGAATGACCAACATAAATCATTTACATCTGCAGAATGTCAAGTATACTAGAAAATTCAAGGGAACGAAGTTGACATTCGTCTGTTGTCATTCAGCACTTGTAAACTCCTCTATCGCTTAGTTTCATTTGAGCCTTTCTATTTAACCTAACGTAAATCCGTTTTGACTTTCCCATTCTCTCTTTCTGTAGGAGTTAAACGTTTAATTGAACTGATATCTAAAAAGCATGCTGAAGAAGCAGGCTACTTAAAAAATATCAGTGAGTATTGTGAATTTCCTGATAACTTCAATGTATGGAAACCATGAATTAAAATTTTCAAATGCAAATAGAAAAGTTGAGTGGTGCAGCTTCCAGTTTTATAACCACCGTTTCACTTTGCCATCTAGATACTTTTTCAGATATACTTTCATTTCAAGCCTCATTGCAATAACAACACTATTGTTTTTGTAATTTAGGTCTGAAAACAGTTTTTCGAGATTTCCTGGTTGGAATTCAGGTAAGAATAGATTGACAGTATAACCATCAGTTGGTTTGGTAAACTCTATCTGCTTACATGCAAGTGATAACTTACGGCTGGACTCTGATCTATCACCTGTTTCTTAAAAATAGACAAAAGTATTTTTAGCAGAAAATGGGGGAATTTTCCGCTAACATTCAAAGGAGTATCCAAAGCCAAACGCTGACAGACTTGCTGACGACACTTCCCTTTAGTTAATTCATATCAGAATAACATGTTTTCTGTGCATTTTATCTTTTGCTTAAGATCGCAGAAAAAGCTCCAAAATACTGAATCGGTCGTCGTGGATAATACAGTGTGGGGTGGTTGGCGCTGTTTAATTTTATTTATTGAAACGTAGATAAATAGCTAGTTATTTTGATTTGATAAATTAATTTAATAACTTTCTGATTAAATAATAAAATGATTTTGCTTAGTTTATCCAGAGCTTCTTCCTATTTCAAACTAAGAATTACACGTACCTCTAGAAATCAGTGAAAACGGAGTGAGCATACAGGAAAGAAATATGTTGTCACAAAAATTAGTTTTCGATTAGACCTCTCCAGGAATCTTTTCCGATGAAATACAACCTTACAAATAAGCATAATCGACGTAAAATAGTCATCGTGATTTGCTGATAGTAATCGAGTATTACTAGAAAGTGTGAGAAGTAAATGAAATGCGTTCAGATTTTGATACACTAGGAAGAAAAGTGGTTTTTGAGTAAAGGGAAGGAAATATGATGTGTGTAAATGTATATTAACTGGTTAGTTTGTTCTTATTCGTCTGATGATTTGATAGTACCTGCACTTACATTTTATTCTTCCTGGAGTGATTACTCTCACAAAATTCATTCATATTGACTGACTGTCTTTGTTACGTCCAATGACCAACGGCCATCAACTAGATAGGACAGAATAGAGATTGCGATAGTTCTCACCTGTGTCTTACTCAATTTCGATGAGTCATGTTCTGCACAACGTTGACTAAGCTATATGAATGGACACCCAGCTTGATTCCAAGTAATTTTGAAAACTTTGAAGACTTCGTCTTCAATGTTGATCAAGTATGACACTGACTCTTTCGAATAGATATCTTGAGAGTTCAGATTTACAGTACAATTTTCCATAACAAACATATTAAAAAATAGTCATACGTTTCGTGTAAATGCGTTAGAACAGTACCAGAATACACTCAACTCTTACAACCATATCAAAACTAGCCGAAAAAGGAGGTACCGCCTTCCTACAGATCAACATAATACCGATAAGGTGTCATTAGGATGGTAGAGAGTGGGCAGCTGAGGTATGATAGGTAATCAAACAACGCTGAGACAGTCAAAGGTAGACTAATAAACATGATCACCATCGTTGTGTGCTATGGCTGACTCCAATTAATATGCTGTAACACATTCACGTCTTCACATTCTATAATGTGCTAAATAGTGTGTGCCATCAAATAATGGCACATCAAATAGCGTCGGTGGCACAGTGGTTAGGACTCTCGCCGACCATGCACATGGTCCGAGGTTCGAGCCCACGCCGACGCACACCTGATATCTATGGTTGGCCTACGAAATTTGGGCTACCGATATCCATGCTGAAAATTCCATACCTGTACAGAAAATACGGTGTGGAATCAAGCTGTAATAAAAAATAAAAAAAATAAAAAAAGCCTAAGTGGAAACTTGAGAACATGTACTACTTGTGAAGTCGAACTTCGAAACATACAAACCAGAAACAAGCGTGTGTGACCGCCAAAATTATAAATAAAGTAATCAAAAACCAATGTTTGATGGTACAATGGCTGATATTCAGTTAGCGTATGACAGACTGCTTTCCGTAAAAGTATAATATGAGTTCAAGCTTAAGATTTATGGGCGTTTAGTTAGAGTTAATATAGAGGCAGTACACCACTGTACATAAATAATGGATGGTGGACAGGATAAGAAAGATGTGGTCTGATTAATAGTAATAAGAGGGAGGAACAAATAATTAAAAGTGTGACTATAGAAAGAGGAAATTATCGAAACGTTGACAGGTGGATCCAAAAATTCTTCCGTTCACATAAATCAGGTTTCAATTTTCGGATTGCTGGTTCTTCTGTGTAGATTACAGTAATCTGTCACCCATCATATAAAGAGTAGTTTGATGAAGGGATGCGAGATTTGAAACTGAAATCACACGCCAGGTCATCGTGTGGAACTCCAATGGTTATGTCCAAAGATGTCACAGGGAGGACAGGGTGGAAAGTTAAGTTAAACTTGTTGGCAAAGTTGTAGGCGGTCGAAAGTGGTAATAGAGAACTAAATTAAATGGAGATGAGCCTCTGAAGCCATAAGTCCCAGTAACAATATGAAGACAGAATCCTATAAATATATGCATATTAAAATTATAAATTTATGTTTCCAGAAGGCATTGCATCGGTTAAGTCTCCTTTCATGAAGTTCTGTATCAACTGCATAACACATCAAATGGATATTTGACCTACTTTAGACGGATTTTCTTCTACAGAGTTGCGTGGTAATGTACACATTAGAAAACATTAACCTAAGTATAAGCACATATTTACAGATCTTAGAATTACTGAGAATCGAAGTGACTTGGAAAATCAGCAGTTACAATTTCTCAATTCGGCATGATATATCACATGCCAGTTAGTGCAACCATCATAGGTCATGAATTCTGACTCACTGGTGAATGTTCTGGGCGCTAGTCTGTGATGGTTTTAAACAATGATGTCACACATTCACTCCGCTAACCGTCCCAACATGGTATGTTGAAATTCACTAAAGGATAGACTACAATGTTCGCAGGTACCTAATGATTTCACTACCAGTGTAACTATTGTTAAACAACATTGTTCTGATTTAAAAATCCATTTATCGTGTCATTCACACCACGCAATGTAATTAAACTTTCTCAGCATTTTGTCTACTTCCGGCAGTGACTACTTACAATGGCACTCTGTTGTTGGATAAGGTCTTCTGTTAAATTAACACGATATCTCCCATTTGGAAGCTTAGATGTTGATGTACCTACTTTGTAGGTTACTGTAAATTCGATAAGTACTGCCTCTTCCACCTGCTTCAAAACGTATTGGCATGCACATGTCCTTGTTTCCATAGTCGTGAATAACGTTCAGACAAACTTACTTCGATTTCTGGAACCTGAACAGGATTTCTAGATAACAGATTGTGGTTTGTAGTCATCGTGAACAGATACGAGCAGTCCAATATTTATACTTACACCGGGTAGATTATAAGCAATTCGTTCGTCAGGAGTCGCTCTTTCAAGAATGCGCTTAATTAATGAATCACGCTCCTGGTCAACCTCCTCTATACTACGCCACAGTGACTAGCTTAGGTTGAGTTTATTTGCTACTCTTTGCCTCGAATTGACATCGTTCCCATTATGCAATCGCTGTCCAATTGTAGTAAAACTTGCTGTAATTCACTATCAGCCCCAGCAAACGTTGTAGCCCATTCCCTGTACATCTCTTCCCTATATCGTTGATTAGGCGTGAAGATTTCATCAAAAGTGAATCGATAGAAAGAGTGTGAGCCACTTCTAAGTGAACCGCTCGAGTTTACAAACAAGCAAATATCCGTCACTATCCTTTTCTGATATTCGTCCTCACTTATCACTGAATAGGCCAAAGTAATCTACTGCATTTCTCGAGAGTGAAACGCTTAATGTCAACATCGCTATTGTTTAGTATGCCATCAGTTGTTCAGTGGGTTTTTTTTTTAACAATAACAATTTCGCTTTATTCCAGAAACAGTACTTGTGGTACAGTGTGGAATTTTCAGCACATATCTACAATATTGCATCTAATTTCATCGTACATTTAAAAGGAGTATTATAAAAAAAAAATAAAATATTTAAAAAAACAAAAAACAATAACAACAAAAAACCAAAAAAAAACACAGAAATAACAAAAAAATGCAATAAAAATACCAAGTAAAAAGGAAGATAAACACAAATAATGAAAAAAATATTTCAGTATTGGTTAGTGGAAGCTACGATATGTGTATGCGTGGTGAACAGTAACAGCTATAATCATACGGGAAATTATGAGATGTTCTTTAAAAAATGTTTATAGCCAAGATGATCAGTTAATTTGATTGAACAACACTAAGCAATCATAAGATAAACATTTCAGGTTGTGTTTTTTTATTGTCAGCACTAATGCGGTGTTTGTAGTGGTAGTGTGAGGAATCATGCATAATACAAAAT